AGACAGTAATCCCCTAGATAGACAGAAAGAGATGATGGATGGTTGGATGGATGGGTGGATGAATGAAGGGAGGCATTTAATAGATACTGTATTTGTAGAATGAATGAAGAAATTATATATAATCACACACACATTATCACTCCCATGTTTTCATTTTTATAGGTCTGATTTTGGGACTTTCTTTGTCTTCTGTGTTTGTTTGGCACGTTTACGTTAATCTTCCCTAAACTTTACCCATACCCTGAGTGCATTTGCTCCTGTCCCAGAAGCCAGGCTCTCAGGGCGAGGCTCACCCAGGAGATCTACTGATTAGGTCTCTGCTGGGAGAAAGCCATCTCTCCTTGGGGGAAGCTGCCATCTCTACGCTGATGACAGCCCTTGCTTCCCCAGAACAATCTTATGCTGTTTTCCTAAGTTCACTGAGCAATTAATATTAGAAAATGTGTTATTTCCTGTTTGAAAAGTTTTAACAATATTATTCTTCCAAAAAAATTGAAGATAATATATCATTAACTTGGCTCCCACATAGCCTGTTGGATTATTCTAAAATAGCATTTCTTAAAATATGTTAAATTCTTTTAAAGAAAAAAAATGATCAATTCTTCCAAGATTGAGTTAAATTATTTTCTTACAAATTTTGCTTAAATATATTCAAATATAAAATTAGCTTATTCATAAGCTCTTATTCAGCTATGAAACTCAAACGCATGTAAGTTAATTTTCTCTGAAACAACAAAATCAATAAAATTCAAATGTTGTACTACTTCCCATCTAAAATAAATGATATTGTTTTGCTGAAACTAAGTTATTGCTCACAAGAAATGTGGTAGCGGCTGATACAGTGCATTTTATTTAGATCAGACATGTCAGTACTGACTGGAGACAAGCAGTGATTCAGTTTTCCTTCACTTGTCTCTATTTAGAATGTTTTGGAAGTCTGTCTGTATGGTGCACCACAGTGCCATTTGGGCTACACCTTGTGTGAATGCATCCTTTATTGTATTAAGTTCACCTCTGTTCTCTTCTCATTAGCCCACAACATATAAAATAATTCTCCACGGTGTCAAAATTATTCTAAATGCAATCCCAAACAAAAAGACTGAAATGATATAGTATAGCTCAGTTGTAATTTGTTCACATAAGCCAATAGATACTTATATTATTTTTATTGGGTTATTTTCCCAATTCAAATAAACTTAATTCATGTTAGGTACTCTCAGACCCTGGAAAATTCATCAATAGGTACACAAGAATCTGGGAGATATTGTTCTAAAATGCATCAGAAAGTTACAGAAGAATACAGTAAATATATAAATTGGGGGGTTTTAAGTTAGTAAATATAGTAACAAGCATAGATTATTTCTGAATTTGTATAAATATCATGAACAAGACCTTTCATGTTAATTTTTCATCCTTTGAAAACATTGTGTTAAGCATCCAGTCTGGGTAAAGATCAATGAGTGAAGCTTTGAGAATTGCAACAAAGACAGAAGAGTTCTTGACTTTGGGAATTTTACATAGTAGGGGAGATAAGGCATGTGTACCAGCACAGTTCCACGCAAAATGTACTAACTGCCATAGGGAAATACTAAATTTTGCGTAAGTGCCAACAGGGAGATGCAAGAATGATCCAGAAGACACTTGGTTCTGCATGTGTCCCAATTTCTGCAGTGCTGGCTCCTCTCCATTACACACAAGTTTCCAGAAAATAATTTGTTAGCTACAAGTACTAAAAATCACTCTGTTGATTTTTAAATGTCTAAATTTCATTGAAAACTAGTATATACAAGTGGCAATTCTCAAAACCTAAAATATTTCCTTTTGTAATTTAAACTAAATTGAGAGTGCAAAGTGTATTGTGTAAAAACTTGCTTTATGAAAATTACTTGGCATATAAATATATGAAACAGATTTACTGGAGCCTTGCTTAGAAATGACAACTTTTTCAGAAATAATTTTTTTTTCTTTTGGTGAGAAAGATTCACCCTGAGTTAACATCTGTTGCCAGTCTTCCTCCATTTTGTATGTGGGCCACCACCACAGCATGGCTGATGAGTGGAGGAGGTCCACGCCCGAGATCCAAACTGGCAAACCTGGGCCGCTGAAGCAGAGTGCAGGAAGTTTGACCACTGGCCATGGGGCTGGACCCTGAGAAACAATTTTTTTTTTTTTTTTTTTTTTTTTGCTGAGGAAGATTGTCCCTGAGCCAACATCTGTGCCCGTCTTCCTCCATTTTGTTATGTGGGAGCCGCCACAGCACGCGTAGGTCCGCGCCTGAGATCCGAACCTGCAAACTCAGGGCTGCTGAAGAGGAGCATGTGAACTTAACCCCTACGTCACTGGGCCAGCCCTCCCTGAGAAATAATTTTAAGTAGATTATCAGTATTTGCTCTTGTATTACATTTTATCCATCAAATAATGATCATAGACTTAGATGATAAGACAGCAAGACTGACTAAAACAGTGGTATGTAATTTAAATAAGCGCTTGATATGTATATTATTTCATTTAATTGTCACAGCACACCAAAAGATGAATACCACCTCTACTCCCTTTACAGGTGGGGAATCTGAGGGTTAGAGAGATTGTCACTTCCTTGTGGCTAGTAAGAGATAAAGGCAGAATTTGATTCCAGGTTTTCTGACACCAGAACCTACTATTACATAAAATATTTGTACTACACTGATATAAACCAAAGTGATATGCAAAGGGACAGTACTTGCCTTTATCCATTATTTTACCAGTTTTTTCATCCAGAAAATGTGGTATTGTGTAGATTCAATAATATTGGTCAATAATTGATCAAAATTGATCAGTTTCATCAATAATATTGATAAATAAAAAACGGTATTATTTTATTAGCATTTTTGTTCCATTTTAGTTTTTGAACAGAATTGTTCACAGTTATTCCAAGTTAATAAATAACATTAACAGTTGCCAAAGCATCAGAAGGAATATTAACTGCTATGCTATTCACGGGGGAGGGCAATAGAGGAGAAGGAGGGGCTACATGTCTTCGTGAAGCCAGGGTGCCGGTGGGGTTCCTCTGAACATTCCCTGAAGGGCTGGGCTCCTAAAGTGACATTTTCAGTGGGAAAGAATACTGCAAAAAGGGCCATAGAAAATTATATCCACTTTGAGACAGCTCTTAGATGTCTGCATTGCCTGATAATATTACAAAAAGTAGTTGCTCTTTGAATACTTGAAGTTTGAATTAGGACTCCAGCTTCCTAAGGTTATAGTTCAAACATAAAAGAAATATTAAATCCCATTTAGTTTAGTTTTAGTATCTAAGACATTTTACAATATCCTAATTATTTGAAAATTAATATCGTAAGTATGATATTTATAGTAATAATTATGTCTGATTCATTATTTGAAAATTGCTATCCTAAGTATGACATTTGTAATAAGAATGTCTGATTCTCCAGGGTAACCCTATTCGTCCTCTATTTCCTCATCTGCAAAATGGGAGTAATAATAGTAAATAAATCATTGCAATGATGAGGACAAACCCCTTAGTGGAGTGTTTGGCACAGTGAGCACTATAACAGTTGAAGATACTGCTTCTGCTGCTGTGACTGCTGGTGCTCCAGATGGGAGTGTTTGCAGGCCTTCCCTTAAGACTACACATAGGTCATAGTGTCAGTTGGCTATGGAAAAAATTAGGAAGTCAAATATATAAAGGCAAATATACTCAATCAGGTAATCCAGGTTTTAAAATTCAGATGAATTCTGTCCAAGTGGGTTGCTCACCCCCCAAAACCCTGACTCTTCAGCACTGTACTCTCTGTCGTCCAGGGTGGGGTGAGGAAGGCTTTCCAGGGGAGGCTGAATCTAAATGAACTGGGTAAAAACAGGCAGATCTCCTCCACCTGCTTGTGAGTGTGGAAATTCTGGTGATGAGCCATGAACAAATTTCAATGAAGCATTTATTCTAAAATCTTACCTAAATTTATGGGAACAAATCCTACCGCCCCACCCACATTGTCCAGTACAACTTGTTTCTATTAGGGCTGTAAGTGGGCTTATTTCCTGGTTTGGTAGGTGTTTTTATATAAAGACAATGAAAAGTTAGAGTCTGTAGAATTTATTTCTAATGTAGAACAATATTATTAATCTCAAAAGTCTTTTATTTTTAGTTGCTGACGTGTGGAACATCATTTCTTGACTATTTTTCTGAGGAGGTTACATAAAACTAGCATTGATATGCTCTGGTGGGTACCATTTCAGGCCGAAAGCTGGTTATCTGGCCTCTCACAGACTGATCATTTTAATGACGAACCCCGCTTTTTTTAAATAAAACTATTGCACTAAGTGGGTATATATCATATGGCCTTAACGATCTTTAAAACGTCTGCTCTCTAGAAAAGTAGTAGCTCTTTAGAAAGAGACCATCTGATATATCATTTCTGTGTGTCTCATTCAAATTTTATCTTCCCAGGTTTTTCTTAATCAGTCTTGTTCACACTGATCCCAGATAATGCTGTTTAATCACAAATTCACATTTTGAGGCATCTTCTTTAGGTTTTAAATCATGATATTTCTGCAAATCAGCATAGAAAATTATTTTAATGACTCTTTTCCAGCAAACTGTTAGAAAACCACAAAAAAAATTAGAAGTTAAATCGAAAATCTTTTCTTCTCTTTGAATTTGTTTTAGTAGGTATGGAAAATTACACTATTTCCGTTTGTATAAACAGCTTTTTAAAGATAAACTGCCAAAGAAATTAATTATTTTTCTGTCATTCTGTGTTTATTTTGCTTAGCTCCCAGAATGCAATTCCTTTTATTTTCTCTTTTCTTTTCTTTTTTTCTTTTGGTTACAATATATGTATTTGTGTTTTATCTGCAGTTTAATAAATTCTGTTGTACTTTTTTGGGGAGAAGACAGAGAAAATGAATTCTAATCGACTACATTGGCTGAGTACTTTTTTCCTCTTTGCCGCCTGTTTTGGAGGTCTCATTATTTTGTTTTCCTTTGTTGCTATTTATTACAGAGGAGGTGTCTGCGAGGATAGTTCAGGTGGTCACGGCTGAGGCTGTCGCCGTCCTAAAAGGTGAACAGGAGAAAGAAGCGCAGCATAAAGATCAACCTGCAGCCCTGCCTCTAGGTAAACGCGAAGGAGCCTCAGGTCGGGGCTCTTTCTGCTGCACCCTGATCTCGGGGTCACATCTTCATGTTCAGAGATAGGCCGTATCTCATGCTTCATTCTTACATGTAACCGGCATCGAACACCGCTGTTGGGGTGCACTGGCACCTATTTTCACCTTTCTCAACAGGCTCATTGTGGTATTTGGGTCGTCTTCAGGGTGATGAGCTTATGTTTAGGCTTTGCCCCAAAATTGACCTCAGTTTTGCATTTCCAGTCCACTACAGACAGTTATTATAAAAATAAAGCCAATGCATTTTGATGGCATGGCCCCCATTCATAGGGAAAATGTCCTAATACTCTAATTAGAGATGATTGTTTCCCCTTATGGGTTTTGGTGAATGAGTGTCTATACTATAGCCTTGTTTGAGTCACTCTGAACTAACTACACAAAAACGTATAGCTAGGTCTTTGTTAGATTCATCAGTGACTTTGTATCTCACATGAGGTTCTGGCCTTCCCTTGGTTCATTTAAGGGCCCTGAGATAGCATTGCTCTCTCTCCTGGTCACGAGTCAAATGCCGTCCAGGGCCAAACAAGTAATGTAATGGTGCTTGCCAAGGAAAGCGTGTTCAACCAAAGACTGCTGCCCATCTTCTCCGTAGATAGATACGTAGATAGATAGATAGACACACAGACAGGCAGATAGATAGATAGACACACAGACAGGCAGATAGACAGATAGATAGATAGATACATAGATAGATAGATAGACACACAGACAGGCAGATAGATAGATAGATTACTAGATAGATACATAGATAGGTTGATAGGTACATAGATAGGTTGATAGGTACATAGATAGATGTAGGTGTATATACATGCAGAGACGCAAGAACGAACTCTCTTAGGTTTAACATATATGTTTATTTCACAGGTTCATATAGCTAATCCACAGAAAGATATGGTTTTTAAAGCCTAAAAATAGTACATATCCATTTTTCTCTCTCATATGTATCCTTAATATTTGATCTTCTGATCAATACTCCTTCAATTGTCTATTAAAAATTAAGCAATAAAAAATTTTACTCTCCCAGAATAATAATTAAAAATACTCTCCTTATTTTTAATAAAATTTTCTTTGATTATCAAGGATTATTTTTCTCTTAAAACAGAGAGAAAAAAATTATCTAAAACATTAACCTTCTGCCTGTGGTTCACTTCTATTCTTTGAAATAAACGAAACTACCCCCCCATTTTTTTCTCATTGAAACCTTAAAATATGCCATGTAGAAGCCAAGAGGGTCAAGGAACTAAGAAGTCATCTGTCATCCCAAAGCTGCCTCTACTAACTGCTTTATGAAACTGAGTTCACATAATCTTAAAAGAGATTTTACCACTAGCCTTGACTGTTGAGTATTTCCTTTTGAAATCGCTTACCCTCATATGAGTGGTCATAGAAGGTAAGTGTCTTGAAGAGAGAAAGAGTTAACAGTGAATGAATCACATCTTCTAGAACTTTTCTCTTTGGTCCTTCATGTGTAATGCCAAGGCCAAAAGATTACTCAGCTCCCACTAGTACGTGGTGTCTATCTGAAGGCTGCCTCAGGTTGTGACAGCTTCATTTTTCTTTTCTGAGAATACGTACGGAAGAGGGGTTTTGACATTGGACTCAGTGGAGAAAATGTTGTTTAAAAAATACATTACCAATACTAACTGTGAATGATCAAGGTAACAGTTGTTTCCAGATCAAGAGGTTGAACAATATGGACTTCTAATATTTTTTCAGCCAGTCAAGCCAAATCCAAACTAAAATGCTTGCCTGTGTGTGTTTGAATATAGTAGATTAGGACCAGAATGAAATATTTTATTAATTGGACAGGCAGACACAAATTAATGCGATTAATGATAGAATTTTAGCAGGCATCTCTAATCCATTTTTATGGAGAAGAAAAAATGATTTTTTTGGAGAATATTAAATGCTTTTCTTTCTTTTAGGTTTTCAAAAATATGTGAATCAGGTAATGAGGCTAAAAATAAGTCAAGTGCATCTTATTATGACTCTCTTTCTAAATTTCGTAGAGAGGACTTTTTACAGATTACAGAAGTGCCTATACACCTACTGGCCTAATAGAATTAATTGTTGTATCTCATTTTTCCATTGTTTGATCTTTAGCAGCTGAAGAGACAGCTAATCTGCCTCCTTCTCCACCCCCATCACCAGCCTCAGAACAGACTGCCGCCGTGGAGGAAGGTGAGCCTATTGGACTTTTTGAGGTTTGTCTTCTGATAGAGGGTAGATAAACACTGACCCATGAGCACTGGACTCTGGTATGGGTTAGTATGTCACCCAGCTTGGGAGCTGTCTGTTTCAAATAGTCAAGAAGAAACAAAGGCTTTAAATAAATGTATAATTATTTCTTTATATAAAATCAGAAGTAGAGGAATATGGTAAATAAAAAACGAAAATCTAACTTTGTATTTAAATTACTAGAATAACTACAGAGAACCAGTTTATTTAATGTAGAATATTTTGACAGAGAAGATACAATCCTATAAGTGACTGAACAAAAATGAATTTATTGATGAAATCAACATTTCCTTAGGGAAGTGTTGTCAGGAATTGTCTCTGTTTTGCTCACTTTTGTGTTGCCAAGACCTTCCCCAGGATCTGGCCCATAGCGAACTCTCCATAAATATTAATGAATAAATGAAGAAGTCAGTGAATGAATCTGATATTGAGAGCAGGGCACTGGGAGCTGAGATCATGGCTTCTCTCCTGCTGAGACCTGTTATCGTCCGTGAGTCTATTTATGCATTTACTCCACATTCAATGCCCTGTCGGCTTTCAGTTCTCCTTGATAAAACAGAGGGATGCCTTTGAAGAATATTCATTCAGAATCTGAGATGAAAGGCTCTATTTAAAAGCAAACTATTATTGGTCCTCTGACTTAGCTCAGTTAACTTTTGTGTATTGTTTGAGTTACAGGAGAAGGCAGAGAAGAGCTACAGCTCAATGTTGTTTCAATATAGTTTAGTTTTCATATACTAAAATCAGAATTTTAATACTGTTCCCTTTTATTCATTTATTTCTTCACTTATTTTTCCTTTTGTTGTCCCTTTTAGAGATCATTTTACTGTGTTAAAAATTGAATAACATCACGAAAGATTCACTGTCTTTTTATAATCTGTAATTAGGTTCATTTAAAATATTCTTTGATTTCCTAAATACAGATTTTCCTATTATTGAACTATAAACTATCAATAAATCTAATTTATTTTTGTCACAGATTTATAAACCTAAACCTTTTTTTAAAGAGGTTTTTCTTTCCTGAATTGAAGCCATTTTTTGGTAATTTACTGCCTGAAACAATGTTAAACAAACTAAATTATTCTAAGGAATAAAAGGAAATTTGGGGACTATGATCAGTGCTTATAATCAGTGTCATAATAGCCATTGATTATTAATTAATTCCCTGAAAAATGTGATTTGACCTTTTAATTCATAGATTTGAAAGATTCTTTTTGGCCTTATGTTCATCCATCATTGGGCACATATTTATGGAGCACCTATAATGTCCCTGGCATTCTTCAAATTCTGTTACCCTCGTGAACAAAACAGACATGACCACTCATTGTAAGGAGCACACAGTCTGGTAAAGATCAGAAATTCAATAAATAAGCTTACAAACAGTTTCAAATTGGTTTAACATCAGGAGAGAAAAGAACAGGGAGCTTTAAGATAGACAAGGGAAATCTGATTTTATAGGATGGTGAGGGGAGAGTTAAGGGCTGAGCCCAGAAGCAGGAGGAAGTGTTGGCCAAGCAAAGATGGAGGAAAGGGACATTTTGGGCAGAGTGCCCAGGACGTGCAAGTGTGCTCAGGTGGGCAAGAGCGTGAAGCGTTCTAGGAACTGAAGGAGTCCCGTGGCTAATGGGTAGTAGGAAAGGGATAGAGAGTGAGGGAGTTGGAGTCAGCAGAGCCCGCTGGGCTCAGGGGCCTGGAGTTCACTCCGAATGCAGTGGAGGCCTTCCATGACAGCTCTACTTCCCTTGGGTCACTGAAAATGTTTCTAGCCCCTTTCATGTATCAGGGAATGCTCCTAAGCCAGAGAGGGGTGTGATATGTACCCCAAAGTCAGCGGAGGTCAAGTAATGTACTCTGCTTACTCTTAAATGGGAATCAGAGCAGAAAGGGCAGTAGGGTCCTCCCTCACCTGGGAGCTGCCCCAGTCTGCCTTCTGGAGGGTGACATCCTGGACATCATGAAAATATAAATAAAATATGGAGTCACCTTTACATTTTGGTAACTTAGGTGTCACTTTCCAGAGTAACTGTTCCCTTATATTTTGGGGTTGCTTTCCACAAGCTGTTAAAGTATGTTCGGGGAAAATGTCAGCTTGCTTCCAATTTAAAGTAATTCAAAAACATTTTATTCTTAACACTTTTGAAACTAAATTTTTATTTTTCTTGAATTATTACTTTTTCTGTTTTCAAAAGAAAGCATTAAACCATTTGAAGGCCTAATGATTTGCTTTTAAAAAGATAAATATTTTTTGAGTTATGGGGGAAAAAGTGTTTTACAAACTCTACCCCATTAATATAAAAGACTGGGGTATACCTTAAATATGTGAAAGATGTGTGGTCTAGACAATAACACTAGCCCCTCTTTTATTTTACACCACTTGTAAAATATATATGTTATTTTTTTTTTAAGTTTTGTTTTTATCAGAAAATCAATCAGTTGAAAAGTCACAAGATTCAGCTCTTCAATTTTTCAAGCCAAATGGTTTGTGAAGACCCAGCCAAAATGCCATTAATGTTTTGTTCATAGCAAGTTGGGTGGAAAGAGAGCAGGCGGGTTTTTCATCTAGGAGATTTCTACCCTCCTCAACGCACCCTCAAAGCAACTTTCATCTAAAGGCGCAGTGACTACCACCAGCCAGTCCTTTTATGCAAATGTGAAAGAGCTCTTGGATTAAATTGAGTAATTCTATGATTTTGAGGCTATGCTTACTTTTTATTGATTATGAAACATTTTAAAAGCTGTTCTTTCCCAAAGGGGAAGCATGAAAGATGTTAATTACCATCATTTATGAATATTCATTTATTATAATTGATGCAATAGTAATCATTCCCAGAATATGTGCTTATTCTGGGAAACACACGGATTTTGATGGAAGAATTAAGTGGCACACTTAGAAAGGACACCCACGTACAGTGACCAATACTGTCCCCATCCTGATGTTTTCAAATTAATCTCCTGTTTCTTTTGGCCTCACCGTAGTAGTTACCGTTTGGACTGGACTGTTAGAACTTGGAAGCCCATGCAAGAACGATGGAGTCATCTGAAAACAGACCCAGGACTCCTTCTGCCCCTTAGGTTTGCTCCAGAATCCTAGGGTGGCGTTTTCCTGTGTCAGTGATGTGGCGACATTATAACTGCTCATCTGAAGGCAGTTTTCCTTCCTTATCATTCTGGGGCAGCAAACACAGTGGGCAAACTGAGGAGTCCTCAATCCAAAGCTTGCAGAATGGAAAGGGCCTATCGATGGTGAAGAACAGTGTACGTGGAGCCAGCTGCCTCCGCCGTAGGCTGTGGGGCAGAGCTGTGATGCCAGGACAGGCAATCACGGAGTCACCAATACCCCCTGAGACTCAGCCTCTCACAAAAGTGATGACTCGTTTGTACCAGAGCAGGCTGACCCCAACGCTGGGTTCTGCATGGCAAACCTTACTTTAACCCAGTATAAATTTTCAAATGCTTTTTTTAAAAAAAAAGTTTGTATGAAAGAAAATTAGGGAAAATGTATTCCTCCACTGAAACCAGGTTAGGTTCACTTTTGAAGATAGTCATGATGCAAAAGAACTAGGTAGAAGTCCGAGGTTCATAAGGCTACCCTGTCCTTTAAAATATCACATTATTAAATGAAATAGAATATTTAGGAGCAAAAACAGAGTCCCCAAAAGCATGGATACTTTTAGTAAAAGGAGGCTCAATCCTGACCTTAAACAGTAAAACCGTTATAAAATGAATTCAGTTTTCCATAAATATCTCAAGTCCAGCTTTGACGTGTCGAATGAAAGAGAAGAGCAGAGGTACGTGACAGTTGGAGTGTGTTGAAGGTGTGTTGAAAGGTGCTAACATGTATGGAGTCCACCATCGTGCCTGGCACTTTCTCAGATATCTTCTCATTTAATCCTCCCAGGAACCCACAGTGATAGGTAATATTCACTTCCCCTTCTTGCGCAGGATGTCATGGCTAGCAAGTGGCCTATCCAGAATTTGAATCCAAATCCAGGTTCCTGCAAACACATCCTCACTGCATCCCTTAGGCTGCCTCTTATCCAGGTTCTTAGTGTAGGACTGTGAACGTGAAGTGATGTTCCAATGAGAGTTTATTATAAGCTACTGGACTAATTTCCTTTTAAAAACCACTCCCAAATAAGTAATTCATTCACTTGTAATTTATTTATTTTAATTATTATATATCCCATCTGCACTGAGTATGAACCAAAAGCACGTGCCATACACAGCTTTGTAGTTTAATGCAGGTCTGTTGTCTTCTGTCACATTGTTGAAACTGAGCGCACTGTTTGGACTTAGCGAGCCTTGGTCCTCTAAGCATCACTTCTGTGGTCCTCTGAGCATCACTTCCATGTTCCTCTGAGCATCACTTCCGTGGTCCTCTGAGCATCACTTCCCTGACACATCTCTGGGACTTGTGATAGGGATGGACTGTAGGCTCATGGGTCCTCAGCAGAGACTTGGAGCACACACAGCTCTGAGTACCCAGAGAGGACTGTGCTTTGCCAGACCTTCTTTCTGAAGTTCCCCAGCTCAGGGCCAGACAGATACTACAGAGAAGCTGCTTTTCCACTGGAGCCCTTAAAGTTCTTGTTGTTCTCATTGTTCTCTGATTAGTGTCAAAGTTTTCAGAATAGAAAACACTGTTTCTTTGAAATGTTATAGATCTGAAGCAAGACTCTGGGCTATTTTCACATTTGGATACGTTCAAAAACAGCAACAAGAAGGAGGAGGCAAAAATCTTCAACAGGTTAAAATACCCCAGGAATATTGCCTTTCAACTACCAGCTCTCAGCTTTAAATTCTGTAGTTTTATACTGTAGTCTGCTCTTCTCCCCAGAAAATAAATGTTGAAAAGCAGAGAGGTGAATATGCCATTTTCACTCATTGCCGTTGCAATCTGTTGGACACATTAGAAGTTTTAGAGGTAACTTGCATACGTGGGG